TTAAACATTATTTTTATTTTATTTATTTTTTGAGACAGAGTCTTGCTCTGTCACCAAGGTGTGATCTTGGCTCACTGCAACCTCCACCTCCTGAGTTCAAGCAATTCTCCTGCCTCAGCCTCCCAAGTAGCTGGGATTACAGGTGCCTGCCAGCACACCCGGCTAATTTTTGTATTTTTAGTAGGGATGGGGTTTCACCATGTTGGTCAGGCTGATCTTGAGCTCTTGATCTTGTGATCCACCTGTGTTGGCCTCCCAAAGTGCTGGGATTACAGGAGTGAGCCACCGCACCCAGCCCATTTAATGTTTTTTGTATGTTTACTGGCCAGTTAGAACTCGGGCCTTGATGTTAAATGGACAAGGGCTCAGATCCCTGTTTTACCACTGACCAAAGCTTGAGCAAATTGTGAACTTTTCAAGGCTTCCGTTTTCTCCCTGTAAATGAAAATAAGAGTTACACCTGCCTCACAGAACTGAAGGAAGAACTAAATAAGGCTACACATAGCCTTCTTTCCCTTTGTTTCTAAAATGGAGAAATCACTGGTAATTAATGGTAGCTGTGTTTGGTATTGGCTAAGATCTACGACAGACACTCTCTGAAACCACGTCACCGCCCATACTTCATCCAGCATAGTGATTTCCTAGGCAACTAAACAAAGGATCCTAAAGCAAAAGCCTGCGAGAGCACCGTGTTGGTTTGAAAGTGTTTCTGCTTCCATGAGGAAAGCCTGGCGTGGCAGTTGGGAGGGGAGTGAGAACAAAGGTGGGATCTACCTGCTGCCTCGGGTCTCTTAACCACCAAACTTGATGTGAAACCTGGAGACAGAAGGTGAAGCTCAGGAGCATGAATGGGAGGAAGCAGAGCCAGAGAGAGGCTCTGAAGGCAGGTCCGCACGTGCAGCAAAGACCCCTTGTGAAGCCACATGTAGGATGGAGTGGAGGTGGGAGGGAGGGAGGGGCAGACTGAAGACCCAAGCAGGGAGTCAAAGGGGCGGGAACTCAGGCACTGAGGTAGAAATGGAAGAAGGGAGCAGGTCTGAAAGGCATGTTGGGAGTGACTGGAAGGAGGTGGACAGGAGAGTCAGTCCTGTTCCTGGAGGTGCCCCAGGCAAGGAGTCAAAGGGCCAGAACTTGAGCACCGAGGTGGAAATGGAAGAAGGGAGCAAGTCTGAAAGGTATGGTGGAGGTGTTGGAGGGAGGTGGGCAAGAGTCAGTCCTGTCCCTGGAAGTGCTAATCCCGGTCCTGGGGCAGGAGTACTGATGCCCTGAGTTAAGATGCAGGGCTCAGTAGTATCAGCTGGCTTCTTGGTGAGGTCATCTGTTTACATGAGACATCTTGGCTTGATTTCTTTCTCTCATCATTCATTAGTTCATTTATTCATTCATCAAGAAGCGTTGCTTGAACATTTGCTAGATGTCTGGTAATACTGTGCTAAGCTTTGAGATGCCAGAGGAAAAAGATCTTGCTTACTGGCTTCAGGTGAGTGGCAACAAGGTGACAAATCAACTGATAATTAAAAGAAAAGGTGAGTGGTGCTCAGATTGAGGTGTACCAAGGACACCAGGGCAGCATACAGGAGGGATGCCTAATCAGACTGGGGCGGGGCCAGAGAGATGAGGTAATGTCTCAGCTGATCTGAGTCATGAAGAATGAGTAGGGGTGAGCCAGGCAAGAGTAGAGAGAAGGGCATTTCATGTGGAGGGAGCAGCAGGTTCAAAGGCCCAGAGGCATTGAATGGCATAAATTTGAGCCCTGCCAAGTTCTTCAGTATGACTGGAATGTGGAATGTAAGCAGAGGACACGGTATGGGATGATGCTGGAAGGAGAAACGTGGACACAAACATGCTCTTCTGAGGGGCTTTAAAGTGTGAAGTGTGTGATCAGATTGGGGATTTAGAAAGATAATTAGCAAAGGACTGTAGAGCCCAGATTGGAGGTACAGGCAGGGCAGCATTAGTGGCAGGGGAATCAGAGCCCATTGTCATATTTATGAGAACTTGGTCTTCAAGGGCTGTAAGGATGAAATGACAGAAACATATTCAAGTGATATGAAAGAGGTGGAGTCTGCTGCATGAGAACTGCCTGGATGGTGGTGAGGGCTGAAGGGGGAACTCGGAGGAAAGCATCAAGAATTCTGGCCTTGGGTAATGAGTGGGAGAGAAGGGAAGCAGAGAGGCTGTTTTGGTTTGGTTTGGTTTTGGCAGTAGGGGGAGGAGTGGTTAGCTGAGCTTTGGTTATGTTGCGCCTGGCTTGCTTGGGAGTCGCTGGGTAGAGATGTTCAAGAGGCACTCACAAATCCCTGCCTGAGACCAAGAGGCAGGCCCGAGCAAGAGGTGCAGAGCTGGGAGGTGTCACCCTGAAGGTGGTGCCAGAAGCTAAGGGACTGGTAGATGAGTTGACGCAAGCAAGCCTCTGAGGGAGAAGAGAAGATGGTGACAGGGTGAACTCCTGGGAAAGACCAGTCCTTAGAGGTAGCAGAGAAATGGGGTCAGGGAGGGTATTGGAAAGGAGCAACACGAGACGTAGAAGGTGACCACGGATGAGCAGAGTCATGATTTTGAAGAGACTGAAAAAGCAAGGGTGGACAATGGTACTGAAAGATGCAATGCGTCATTAAAGACTGAGATGCACCCACGGGGTTCACTACAAAGATGATACAGTGCCTTGGTAAGAACACCTCAATAGATTTGTCGTGAGAGAGGCCAGGTGGGAGTAAGTTTAGGAGTAAACAGTAGTTGGGGCAGCAAAGAGAACTTCAAGGACGTTGCCTCTGAGGAGAGGAGCTTGGGGTGCCTGTGTGGTAGGGAATTCTTGTTTTTAAGGTGGGAGAGTCTTGAGCATAGTAAATACAGAAGGATCTGGTAGATGCTGGCGAGGCTGGGGATCAGGACAATGAGAGGAAGGGGAACAGACAGGGCAGTTCAGGGCATGAGAGGTGAGCCGAGCCCTAGACCAGCGGTTCACAAACCTGGCTGCACATTAGAATCACCTGGAGGGCTTTACACAAACAGATGCCTGGTTCTGTCCTCCACAGATTCTGATTTAAGTGGCTGGAGTGGATCTCAGGCATCAGTTGTTTAGATCACCGAGTGATTCTAATGTGTAATCAGGGTTTAAGAACTGTTAAGTATTCAACAATTATTTGCTGAATCCTTTAAAAAATTGTAGCGATGCCCTTAATTCTTCTCAGCAACAGTGAATGTTCAAACATCTGCAAAGGAGGTTGTGAAGAAGTTATAAAACATGATCCCTGCTCTCAAGTGGCTTATAATCCCTTAAGAGAAATAGTAACCGTTTTTATTTTATTTTATTTTATTTTATTTTTGAGACAGAGTTTCGCTCTTGTTACCCAGGCTGGAGTGCAATGGCGTGATCTTGGTTCATTGCAACCTCCACCTCCTGGGTTCAGGCAATTCTCCTGCCTCAGCCTCCTTAGTAGCTGGGATTACAGGCACGCGCCACCATGCCCAGCTAATTTTTTTGTATTTTTAATAGAGACGGGGTTTTCACCATGTTGACCAGGATGGTCTCAATCTCTTGACCTCGTGATCCACTTGCCTTGGCCTCCCAAAGTGCTGGGATTACAGGCTTGAGCCACCGTGCCCGGCCAATAGTAACCGTTTTTAATAAATACAATGTAAATGTGCTAAAGTAGTGGCACAATTTTCAGAAGAGTTAGACCACCAGGTCTGCATGGTCAGGAAGGTGTCAAAGGAAGGGCTTGGCCTCTGGGGTAGTCAGAGAGCCTGTGGAAGCAGAGAAGAGGAAGGTTCCCACCTGCCCAAGACAATAACGACCACTCATTTCCTGAGCACATCTTCCATACTGGCTACTTGACACACGTTATCTCAAATGCTGTCATCAGGCAAGATGGCTGTATGTCATGCCTATTTTACAGAAGAAGAAACTTAGGCTTAGTGAATTTAATATCAAGCACACAGCTAGTAATAAGTGGCAGAATCAGGATTGAAGCCCAGGACTGGTTGACTACAATGCCAGTGCCCTTTCCACTACAATGTGTTGCTGCTTCTCACTGATCGGACCAAGGCTCCCAGTGACTACTTAGTGCTGTAGCTTAGGGGACGTACCACTTCTGCCAAAGCTCAAGGTGGAGAGAGCCCTCTTTGGCTGGGGCTTCCTGCTCAGGGCCCTTTGTGCAGGGGAAGTATACACACACACACACACACACACACACTTTTAAGAAAGTCTTCCTGGTGGTTCTAATGCTGTTTAAAATTTGAGAACTAAGCTGGGCGCGGTGGCTCAAGCCTGTAATCCCAGCACTTTGGGAGGCCAAGGCGGGTGGATCACGAGGTCGAGAGATCGAGACCATCCTGGTCAACATGGTGAAACCCCGTCTCTACTAAAAAAATACAAAAAAATTAGCTGGGCATGGTGGTGCGTGCCTGTAATCCCAGCTACTCAGGAGGCTGAGGCAGGAGAATTGCCTGAACCCAGGAGGCGGAGGTTGCGGTGAGCCGAGATCGCGCCATTGCACTCCAGCCTGGGTAACAAGAGTGAAACTCCGTCTCAAAAAAAAAAAAAAAAAAATTTGAGAACTAAAATTTCAGTCCCTACTTTATAGGTACACATCAAGAGCTCAGTGTGCAGCTGCAGCAATTCCCTGAGCATCTGAAATCTGCAAATGGAAAGAAGGAACTGGGGATCTCCAGCCTAGGGAAGAATCATTACCTGCCTTCTAGCAGCCTAATAATTTGATGAAAGAATTCTGATGTTAACAGTAACATTTGCTAGTGTGAATGTATCCAGTTCTAGGACCATGGATAGATTTCAATAAAGGGTCATCCTCCAGTCTTGGGAAATATGTCATGGCCATTCTTTTCTTGGCAAAGTTTAAAACTGGGTCAGTCCTAGACAAAGCAAAACATTCTGTCTGCCAAGCAATTTCACAGGGGCCTCGAGATATAAACCTCATGGAAATCGTATATTTTGCCCAAACAATCTTCTGATTATTGGCATCTTGTTTGATCATTGACAGGAGGAAGTGATTGGAGATTTGAAACCGGGCACTGAATATCGTGTGAGCATAGCAGCTTACAGCCAGGCTGGCAAAGGGCGGCTGAGCTCTCCTCGGCATGTCACCACTTTGTCCAAAGGTAAATTCATTAATAGGTGGTGGGCTGCTATCCATGCATCCTTCATTCAGCAAATATCTATAGAGACCTGCTATGTGCCAAGCACTGTGCTAGGCTCTGGGGATTCATCAGAGAACAAAAGCAAGCACAGCCCCTGCCCTCTCAGAACTTAGTGGGGTGAGTCAAGACATTTTCTCATTAGTGTCTAGTAACAGAGTGTGATAGATGCTTCAGCACTGTAGGAATTCTTCCCTGAAGAGATGACAGCTAGTGGAGATCCGACAGGTAAGTAGGAATGACAAAGGTGAGAAAGGGGAGTAGGAGCAGAGATTGACAGGCAAAGAGATTGCAACTAATGTTTACTGAGGTGGCACCAAGATGGACAGTGGGGTACAAAGGTGGATTGGTGGCTATCACTGCTGAAGGAGAGGCCAATGGCGAATGAGTGACAGCAGCACTTCTAAGAACTGCACAGCACGCTGCGGAGCACACGGGGGCGCACTTCCTCTGGCCCAGGCTCAGGGGGGCTTTCAGAAAGAGTCCTACCTTTAGCCTGAGTTGCAAGAAATGCACAGGATTTTGCTAGGAAGAAAAGACAGGAAAAGTCTCCCAGGCAGATGGAGAAGTGTGAACAAAGGCTGGGAAATGCGTGAGTCTGGACATGATCAGAAACAGCTGTTACTTGAGGTGATGGGATCATGGGTGACTCCTACATTTTTATATAGGAGGGCATTTCTCAAATGACCTACCATTACCATGCATTCTGATTGTCAGGGATAAAACACGCAGAGAAAAGAATGAATGTAAGCGGCAGTGATTCTAAGCATTTAATTTTCCTTGACGGTAAATATCAGTTCTGACAATGCAAACAGTGATGGAAGGCTATTAGAAGTTGAAAATGTGATAGAAGATTTTCTGGGGAACTTACTCCGTGTGTCCCAGGGTCAATGGCTGGGATATAATTAATTGGATTTGCAGTCAGAGGGGCAGTGGGGAGAAGGGAAGACCAGCTCTCATTGACTCAAACCTTACACGGTGATCAAGTTGTGATTATGTTTTTGTATTTGTTTGGTTTGGGTTTTGAGGCTGTTCTGAACAGAGATATTTTGGGTATAGGGAGTACTTGTGCTGTTTGTGTATCACATTAAACCTCTCCGGTGGCTGAGACCACCAGCCTAATATAGTTGTGTTTGCCTTCCCACCTAGATTACTGCCTGCCTCCAGCAGCTCCCCAGCAGCCACACGTCATTGTGGTTTCCGATTCTGAGGTGGCCCTGTCCTGGAAACCTGGAGCAAGTGAAGGAGGCACCCCTATTCAGTACTACTCTGTGGAATTCATCAGGTAAGTCTGCATGTCACATTCAAAAGCCAAATGTGTAGACCTCAGAATTCCTAGCCTGATATAAGAAGATGGGAAGAGTCACATCCAGATCTCTACCGCCTGTATATTTAAGAGCCAACACAGCCTTGGAGGCCCGTGTATCTACTTGGGGCAGTAATGATCCCCACACCTCTTTGTTGGTGGGTCACCCGGTAAATCTGTCTGTATCACATACCTCTTCTCCATTTCCCCAGCACAGGCAGAGACTGTTCTAGGCTCTGAAAACTCCAGAGGTACCATTTCTGATAGGTCCGACGACATTTCAAGCATGAACCTTGCCCTCCTGGCTTTGAAACATATATGAAAGTAAATATTCGATGATGCCATTTCTCAGGAGCAGGGGAACCATTTTAAAAACAAGGACAACCCATTGTTTCTTTCACATCCATATTGCCATGGGACAAGTGTCTTGGTTTGATTTCAACGTTTTTCTTTCATCTACCTCTCCATTTCTTATTATTCAGCTTAGCAGAGGGTAGAGAGTGATTGGAAATTTTTCCAGATATTAAAACACTGATTCTCAATTCAGTGCTGCTATGTAATTTTAAAGAAAGAGAGAAAGAAAACAAAGGTCAAGAAAAAGAATTCCCAAGCTAAGGTATTTCCTCTGAACTCTAGTTGCCATTTGATTTTAATGGAAGCAGTGGCTGGTGAGTGAGTCTGAAAACAATGTTTGTGGAGTTGGGATTCTCTACAGTACAGGCGGTAGGGCTTGTCTGAGGCTTGCTGCTTTCTGCATTCATAAAGAGACTGGCTCAGCACCTCATTCCTAAGGCTCTCTGAAGCTAGGACAAAGGATTCTCCCAAGATTTGATTAGCTCTGCTTCTGTGTCTTGACTTCCTAGCCTATTTCTTGGTGATGGAAAGCACATATTTGTTTCTTCAGGGGTGAGGTACTGCACTGAATCTCTTTAATGCTTGAGTACAGTGTTTCACACAGGACTTGTTAAATTGCAAGTGTCAGAAGCTTGAAAGGAGAAGATGAGGCAGTAATGTGTCAGCTCCGGTAACTGTAAAGTCCATCAGCAAATCTAAATTCAGGGAAGGCTAGATCCGTGTCAGTTCAGCAGTCTGACTCCAAGCATCTCTCTGCTTTAGTGGCTTCATATTCAGATGGGCTTTTCCCAGGTGGTGGCAAAATGGACACCAGGCAGTCGAGACCTTCAGTCAAGACCAGCCTAGCTCCCTAGGAAGGAGGGTGGCTTTCTCCATGGACCCAGCAGAGTCTCAATTTTTATTCTAATTGTCCAGGCTGAGGTCCCTTTCCATCCTCTGCCCCAGTCACTGTGGCCCGGGTGGGGAGAATTCATGGATTGGTCAGGCACTGGTCGTATTCCGAGCTCTGGAATTAACAACTGTTTCTTCACTCAAACCTGGAGTATGTGGATTCAGTGTTCAAGATGATTGCATCCTGAAAGGAAAATTGTGGTAAATTTACTGGAAAAGAGAGGAACAGATTCTAAGAATTGTTTTTTATAATGCCCACTGCAAAGCCCCAGAAAAATGCTTTGCATTGAAGATAATCTATGTCCTGTGCCATTGAACAGATTTTGCAGGCAAAGCCTGGAATATACCTAAAATAAAAAAGATTCTAATCCTGGTTCCAATACTCGTTAAATGTGCTACACTGAAAATCCTAAAACTTCAGCTTTCTTGTCTGTAAAACTTAGGGTAAAACTTAATATTTATAATTTACTTACACAAATAAATTAGACAACACCAGCAAAGTAAGATGTAATACTTTAAATTTTTGCAAAATGTACAGTTTTGGCTGGGCATGGTGGCTCACGCCTGTAATCTCAGCATTTTGGGAAGCCAAGGTGGGTGGGTCACCTTAGGTCAGTTTGAGACCAGCCTGACCAACATGGCGAAACCCCATCTCTACTAAAAATACAAAAATTAGCCAGGCATGGTGGCAGGCATCTGTAATCCCACCACCTACCTGAAAGGCTGAAGCAAGAGAATAGCTTAAACCAGGGAGGTGGAGATTGCAGTGAGCCAAGGTTACGCCACTACACTCCAACCCCATTTAGAATGAGACTGTCTCAAAAAATAAAGCACAGTTTTTAATGATTTGATGGTAGCCTAGGAGATAATCTGTGTAACCATGACCAAAGGTAAGCATTATTTATTACTTTTTTGTTCAAACACATATTTTTGAAAGTTTCTCTATGTCTATATACTAGCAAAAGGTGGAATGGTCATTTCTTAACCTTGCATGCACACCTGAAAGTAAAAGATGAAAGAGAGTCACTGGATTCAGACAGAAGAACTGGGAAAGAGTGCTGCCTTCTCTAATGCCAGCCATGTGGCCCAGCACAGCTTACTTCCCCTCGTGAGCCTTGATGCCTCTCATAGTGAGGGGTCCCCTCAAAAGACAGCCAGAGATAAAGACTTGGGTGCAAGCGGTTTATTTGGATGTGGGAATGAGAGTGTGGGGAGAATGAGACAGGAAAGCAGGATATATATAATGGTATGTTAGTGAAATCACTGCTAGAGGTAGCAGGGTCGTCACTGGGGTCTTGATTCCATTGAGATCTCTCTGAAACCCACAGAATTCTTCTCACACTTCCCATTAAAAAGACAGGAGACGTGTATCCAGTGGCTTCTTCCTCCTCTGTCCTTTGCGCATTGCCCCTGAGGGTATAACTCCTACATGTTTCATGGTGAAGGGGGGAATCTAGAGAGGTGAGGAGTGACAGGAGCAGTGTGTGCCAGAGGTGATGTGCTGGCCACAGGAGACTAGTCAGCCTTCCAAGAACTGTCCATGCCACAGCTGCTGCTGAAATCAGAGGTGGGACAAGGGGAGGTGACATGGCCCCAGAGCTGTTGGCTACCATCTCCTTATCTGTAAAACGTGGGTGATGACTTCTTCCAGCCTTACGGTGTGTGGTTAGGAGGATCAAGTGATATTCTTCAAAATATGAGAAAGAGAAAGAACTTTGCGTAAGAAGAAGCTGTGTTGATGTCAAAAACCTACAAAAGTTTAAGATGTATGTGGGTGTTATATACAAGTATAAACTGATTAAAATGCATTTTAACGTTCAGAGCTCTCTAATATCTAAGGGGCTCAAGGGGTGTGTGTGTGTGTGTGTGTGTGTGTGTGTGTGTGTGTGTCTGTGCGTGCATGCATGCACACACAGAGTTTTGCTCTTGTCATCTAGGCTGGAGTGCAACAGCATAATCTTGGCTCACTGCAACCTCTGCCTCCCGAGTTCAACCGATTCTCCTGTCTCAGCCTCCCAGGTATCTGGGATTACAGGCACCCGCCACCATGCCTGGCTAACTTTTGTATTTTTAGTGGAGACAGGGTTTCACCATGTTGGCCAGGCTGATCTCAAACTCCTGACCTCAGGTGATCCACCCACCTCAGCCTCCTAAAGTTCTGGGATTGCAGGCATGAGCCACTGCACCCAGCCTCTGATGTATATTTTAAACTTATATGCCATTCCAACTAACTGTTAATATATATTTATCTGTTTACCTTGACAAAATACCTTCACAGTGTCTGGAAGGTTAGCTTCAAATTTAGAATTCTTGCATGTCGTTGAATTCCAAATGGAACATGGTAGGTAATATGAGAAAGCCCAGTCACTTGTTACATCCCCTGTGCTAGGAAATTGGCCTTTATCTCTTCCAGAATATATAACTTCAGTCATCTTTTCTCAGAACCCCTATTTCCTCACCTGAAATACCAAGCAAATGTGACCCTGATTGCAGAGCTATTGCTCTTAGTCCTCGCAAAGCATCTGTACATGTAGACATTCAATGGGTGTCTGTTTCTATCCCACCATACCACTATCTCCCTTTCACAAGAGAAGTAATTGAGACTGCATTGCGTAAGTTGCTTTGCCAAGATAAAATGACTAGTTGGGGACAGAATAAAATTAGAACTGAATTCTCCTGACTTGCGGCTCAGTGCTTTTTTATGAATCCCCATGTCCTTTCATGTTTGTGACCCATCTTCAGAGATGGAAGCTTAGACCCAGCCTGCGCAGAGTCCTGCTGGCTGAGGAAATGAGAAACCTCCTCTTAGGCCACTGTTTGATGTCTTCCTGAAAGGAAGCCTCCACAGCTTCTTGCAGCATTTAATGTTGGGCTGCAAAATGAATCCATTTGTAAACACCTCGGAGCCTAAGCCATTGTAGGTGAGTGCCTGAGAATATATGTTCAGAGAGAGCTTTCCTGGGCTCTAACGCTGAAACTGCAGTTTGTGTGTGCTATGTATGGTCTGAATATTTATATCCGCCACAATACTCATATGTTAAATTTGAACTCTCAAGGTGATGGGATTAGGATGAGGCCTTTGGGATGTGGTTAGGTCATGAGGAAAGAGCCCTCATGAATAGGACTAGTGCCCTTATAAAAAGGGCCTGGGGAGGTCTCTCACCCCTTTCACCATGTAAGAACACAGTGATAAGATGCCATCTATGAACCAGAAAGGAGACTCTCAGCCTGGGCAACGTACAAAAATTAGCCAGGTGTGGTATCGCACACCGTAGTCCCAGTTAGGAGGCCGAGGCAGAAGGATCACTTGAGCTTGGGAGATCAAGGCTGCAGTGAGCCATGATCATGTTACTGAACTCTAGCCTGGGCATCAGAGTGAGACCCTGTCTCAAAGAGCAAAAAGAAAAGAAGGCAGACCCTCACCAGGTGCTGGATCTGCTGGCACTTTGATCTTGGACTTCCTGGCCTCCAGAACTGTGAGCAATAGCTTTCTGTTGTTCGTAAGTTACCTAGTTATGGTGTTTGTTATAGCCGTCAGAAGAGACTAAGCTGATATGAAAGGATGAAAGGCTTTGGGGGGTCTTCAGTTATTTTATTTTCCTCAGAGAGGTCCATTTAATATTATATAGTGAATTCCTTTTTCTACTTCCTGTGTACAGAAACACACGTGACAGGTTTCTGTGTGAGCCAAAAGGTCCTTGTCATTATACGTCTAAGAGGCAGGACTTCAGGCA